CGTTCTCCACGCGCGAGGACACACGCCGAAAACTGCCAAACAACATAGCCTTACCGAACCACCACCCTCTGTCCTTCGCCGACGACGTGTCCCGCGCCCGGACAAATAGGTCAATAGGTGAGACGCATGGAACGTACGTCGAAGTGACCTAGTTCGCTGTAAGGCGAGAGCAGTCGTGCAACGGCCGCACGATCAATAGCGCATTCTTGACTTAGAAAACTTACAATGTCAGCGAAAGAAGACGTGGTACCAAAGTGGGCGAGATCGAGATCGTCCGCGGATTGTATGCATTCGGCGAAAAGTGGACTTTTTTTTTCTTCACGAATCTGAAGTAGCCTAGGTTCGAAAGCCATTTTATTCAACGACGTCGCGGATTTCGACAAATTCTGCGATCGCAATTTCTGATTACGCAGCCGCAAAGGATATCCCGATCTCAATTTGATTGGGAGATTCTTGGACTAATCTAGAAACGATTCTAAGACATCGAATAGCTTTTGTATTATGAATGAATCTTGGGATATAGGAATCTAGTAGTTGAGGAATTAGATATGCACGCAGATGGTGCATTCATAACGTTATCGTCGAGATTTACTGCCAATCTCGCCGACAACGTCTTTATCTTCGCGACAGCCCCCATTCATTTCGATTACATTTGTTACAATGAAACCGAAGCTTTCTCATTAACTTCAATGATACACAAAAGGGAGCGAAACGCTTCGCTGATTTCTTTGGATAACTTCAACGATATTATGCTTACAGGAAATATAAAAGTATAATAAGAATTTTAATTAAATTCTCTGAATTCATATTGAGAGAAGAACTATGAAGAATAACTAAAGATTAAATACTGAGAGGAGAACAGCTCGTAACATTAATATCACAGATGTGATATGAATTGATTTGGATATCTATATATGGAGAGACATCAGGCGCGAATAGCTTATGAAGATTCGAGTCGCTCTCGAGTTTAAGCAACGTTCTGTCATAGACACGCGTATTCATATCAGGAAGGGAATCCTGAATCAAGTCTCCGATTCCTACGTGAACGGAATATTTCTTGCACGAGTGCACAACTCTGTGGTGGCACAATGTGATGAGGATAAACAATCTGCACCGCGCGAAACATGGAAACTGCATAACAACGTTCGTAATGCCTGATGTGACTGTTTATTGATTTGGCATAAGTTCGCTTTACTCGTCTTGGTAATATTAACTCGGCGAAGAGTGGATGGATCGAGTGTTCCTTTCTAACAAAGATCGTAATGGTAGATGGTTGTTTATTAGTTTTGCGAGTTTGCTTTATACAACCAAGTAACGTATTATTGCGGCAAAGTTTGCTTATTATGCAGTTAAACATCCTTATTTCAGAGATACACAAAATAAGAGAGATGAATTGCAGCCTTATAAAATTCTTGTTTGCTTCTCATCGTATGTATAAAGTGCGTATATTTTTTGTCTGTATAGAATAAAAATAGAATATTTCATTAAAACGCCAATCATCGACTAATAAACTGCGAGTTAATAGAGCGGTCCGAATATTTCGTGGTTTAAAACGATGTACCTTGCTCGTGCTTTTAATTATCGCGTATCGATTTTTAATACACTATCGCGACACGCTATGCATATGAACGATATATTACAGCATTATACCTCGTAATTTCGAAGCTAGGCTGAATCCTGCCGCAAATACCAGTCCGCACAAAGCAAACGCGGTTGTAGTTGTTCACAAAGGATCGCGTATATTCTAGGTCAGGGTCTCTCAAACTGGGTTGCCGCCATTCCCCGCCACCGTATATATATTTACACGCGTTCCGAATATATATATATATATATATATATCTCATAACTCGTCTAAGAGTCTTGACGTGTTGTCAAACCGACACTATATTCGTTTTTGACTTAAAATTATAATTTTATTTTTATTTTCACAAATCACTTGATAAGGACTCAAAGAAGGGTCGAAACGTTGTGATTTAATAAATAATATTTGCCAGTACGGTCGAGAGAAGAGTTTTACTTTTTTAAATTCTGTCTGGCGATTCTCAAATATCTACGTATATATACGTAGATACGTAGGTACGTAATATACGTAGATATTTGAGAATCGCCAGACAGAATTTAAAAAAGTAAAACTCTTCTCTCGACCGTACTGGCAAATATTATTTATTAAATCACAACGTTTCGACCCTTCTTTGAGTCCTTATCAAGTGATTTGTGAAAATAAAAATAAAATTATAATTTTAAGATGTCAAGAACGAATATAGTGTCGGTTTGACAACGCGTCAAGACTCTTAGACGAGTTATGAGAGACATATATATATATATATATATATCCGGAACGTGCGAAGACGCCCAACGATTCCAAAAAGGTCTCGTTATCAATTTACGACCCGTGATCCTTCGGTTGATCCCGAGTATATTCACGCAATAAATGAGCACATTAAGTCAGTTGTCGTGTAGATGTAAATTCGCAGGAATTGTGATCGCGGAATCTAGGGCGAAAAGAGTCGTATCAAAAGATGTGTGGCCTTGCTTTTTTCACGCAATTCGAAAAAAATGATCGCACCATGGAGAGAGAAAGACTTCCCATCTCGTCATAACGATAACGATATGTCTTACTGGTAGTAAGCTTGCAAGACTGTGAACGAGGTACTCGCGGCTTACGATTATGAAATGCGCCGAGCAGAAAGTGCTTTTTTTACGAGCTAAAGTACTATTTCATGCCCTTCACTTCACTTCTCCCTGAGAGAACCGCTGTTCAAGCAAAATACACACACGAGAGTGGTGCGTAGGTGGAAGGGCAATAACAACTATGCTGCGAAACTTGCCCGTCAAGCGCAATGGACAACGATGTGTTGTTAAATCGTGCCATTAACGTACTAAGGACGTGTGTTAGCGTGTCATCCAGGCACATTCAACGGGATAAATTGAATTTTTTAGTCAAAAGCTAGGACTTTTCACCGCTTGCACGAATTTGTATGATATTCTCTGGTGTTTCGATTTAAACTCTTTTTAGAGTAAAAGAGAGAAAGAGAGATAAAACTCTCTGGATTATTTTGTTATAAAATAAAAGTAGTAAAGTTTTTTGTCATACAAATGTACAATATTGACGTGTAAATAAGCTGACTGGAAAAATAGAAAGCAACATAGAAAAATCATATGAGTGCTAAATGTAAAATGTCATATTACATTTGTATGTTAAAAACTTACACACACGTCAACTGACATATGAAATCTAATGTTGCTCATGCTATTACTGTATTAAAACAAATATAACAAAATTCGTTTTCTGAGAATTGTTGAAGGAATTAATTTCAACTTGAAAAGTGTTATATTTTCCGGTGCCAATAAGATTTTGCATTTTTAACTGCAATTTGAATTTTTTCTAAAATTATCGCGACAACGCGAAGACGAGGAAAGTAATGCGCGGAAATAATTCTATGGATTCATCAACAGCGTCGCGTCAGTAAGCAGCTTCTTCCAAATGCATGAGATTGAAATTGAAAATATGTAGATTTACGCCACAATATAGACACGTTTGTGCAAAATTTGCGACGCACTCGCGCGTCTGACTATCGATCAAATTGTCTGGAAATCAGCCGGCGCCGAAAGTAAATGACGCATTATTCATTCCGAAATTTCCTATGTTCATAGAGAGCGATTTTTCAAACACGGATGACCTATTCGGATGCCATTTTCAACATATGTTATATGTAAAATTATGTAGATTTATCCGAATTTTGGCAGATTCTTCGAAAGTCGGGTGCAACTTTACAAGAATTTTAATTAATCGCAAGGCGCGCAAAAAAATTTCACCTAAATTATGGATGAGTTGTAACGACACGCAATTCTTTATCTCTTTCATAGTCGAGACATAGGACATTAAAACTGTCAGTCGCAGTTCTATTATAAACATTAACGAGGGAAAATTATTACTCTCATAGGGGCGACTGAAATTTACGATAGAAGGGGATTGATTGATCTAGTCACGTATTAACAAGGTATTTTATAACAAACTGGTTTGTTAAAGCATTTTAAATTACGAAACATTCTTTATCGTCATTATGTGTCATAAAACACATCAAAAATACGTCATACGTTGTAATCAATAACATATATTTTCCTCTACGTCGTATAATTTGTTATGCAAAACTTTGAATAAATCTAATAATTTAACGAGATGAAAAGATTAAGACACTCGGCCGATATTCGTGTTGCAAACTCTTTTTTATGTAAATTTGGGAGTAAATAATCACGCTAACTAAGAGATTTTGATGGTTATAATATATTCACGTTATCCGGTAATCATAATCGAAGTATGCGAGGGAATAAATTAACGAGAAAATTTCAATTGAAAAATTGAGAGGTATACCTATATATAAAAGTACTTTGTCCGCCAGGCGATCATTTGCATGGCGAGCACGATTTTCATTCACCCATCATCGCCGAGACATTCATCTTTATCAGCCGTTCTTTACCGCGCTTATCATAAGGCCGCGCTCTCAGCTACGTATTCATCCGAGAGAAAAAGTGAGTTCCGACCTTCGAAAAGTTTTTGCGCTAGATCTCGCGAACGTACGTAGCAAATACAGGTGTACCTATCCTCGGTAAAATAAGATTTACGAAAGCGTTGTCAACGAGAAAGTTTTACGCGCGTGTAGAATCCATACGTCGCGATACATCTTCCAAATCCTATTACGTCAACCTCGTAAAAGAGCGTGCTCTCATTCTCGCAATCCTTTCCTTCCGAATTATTTCCATGTGAATGACGCTTCTCACACGATTAAACATTGCAATAAATATTGCTAGCTAGCAATAAGTCGATTACGAACAAATAAACAAATTAATTATTCGTTTTTCCATCCTGGGAGAAGCATCCACATTTTAATTTCCATCATATGAAACGCGCGGGAAAGAAATCTGTCAAGCTGAGATTTTTGCAATAATCGTTCATATGAGAAAAGTGAGAAAGAATAAAAAAAAAATGTGTTGCTACTCACCGGGTGTCACACTTGGAAAGGGTACTTGTCCCGGCAACGATGGCGGATGCTCGTCCTCGGGTGATCGTTCGGACGCGTATCCCTGATCTTGCGGCTCGCCGCTTGTCAGCTTGCTCAGCTTCAGATCGATACACTTGGCAAACTGTTGACGATGCTTCACTAACTCGCAGTCAGGTTTGTGCACTATCTTCATCAGCAGGTCGTCGTCCTGGGTGGCGTTCACGATGCACGGTTGCGAGGACGACGAGTTCGATTGGAGGCTCCTGCCGCTGCTGTTTCGAAGGTCCGGCTTGCGTTTCGGCAATGTACCGACTAAATCGAGGTCCGAATTCCGGTGACATTTGTCATCCAAGGCCGCGGCGCGACCTTGGTACTTCCTGCCGGAATCGACGAGCACTGTGTCGGCGCTGCGATTTCTCTTGACCGAGTCAAAATTTCCATGACGGCACCGCACCAGATCGAGATCGCTCTGCTGATATCTGAAATCAGCCGTAGAAGAAGATTCATGAGTTCGCCGAAAGCGGAATCCATTTTGAGGCGAGACTCGACTTGAGAATAATTTTTCCGAACTTTAAAACGCGAGTGAAGAGCGCGCGAAAGATACGACAGGTCGAGAACTCGACGGGGCGAAAACTCTTCGGGGATTCTCGCTCTCTCAGATGCCAGAGAGATGCGCGACCGATCGATCGATCGATCGATATCCACATAGATTGAAATTTGATGGGACGTTCTCGGAATTCTCCAAATTGTTACCCCTCCGTTCGTGTCGCTTCTCGACGGTTCCGCGATGAAATCGCGTGTCAGTGAAGGACGATAATTTCAAGAATCCATTAGGTATAATTAATTCTGACAAAAAGAAGCTATACATATATGTTTGCGATGTCAAATACGATTATTGCATTTTTTCTGACAATCGTGCGATGTGAAACGAATAGTTCTTTTTTATAGGTACTCTTATATTATTACATACCTCCAGGGATCGTTCTCGTCGTAGGACTCGTCGAAATCCTGTGATCGATGTTTAACGAGATCCAAAGTACCGGTCGGCCCACTATCGGAGAAATGCACTCCTAACGAGCGTTTCTTATGCGGCAACGTACCGCCGGACATGATGTTATTGTTATCTCGCTGATCATCGTCTAGTACATCCCTATCGTCCAGATGATTTGGTAGAGAGCTGCAAATTTTATATCTGTAACAAAATTTAATAATGGTCAAATAAAATAATTTATCTAGATCTCCAAAAATTAAGGCACGAAAGACTCATTGAATCAATAAATTATTTATATATGTATGTACCATATATTAGGGGAGATTACACTAAGTAGATTCAAAGATTAAATTATATTATGCAGGATATAATTCGTAATTTTGTGTGGAAAAAACTTTTCTCGGAAATATTATTTAGCGCGATGTGCATTACACCGTAAATTGTTTGTGTAACTCGAGTCTGTTCCTCCGTTAAAAGTATGAAGAAAGTTGGAAAAGATGAAAGCGTCAAGGAAATGAGTTTGCAATGTACGCGGCGGCATTTCGCAGCCGTAATAAGCTGCCGTCAGAAAGCGTCAAACTCTGTAAAAGAAAAAAACTACGTTCACGGTAATTTACATAAACATTTTACACGAGTTGTCGTTACTTCACGTATATCGCGCATTCCGCGAATTCGGGGTGCGAATAATCGGTTTTGTCTGGTCTCGCTAATTCTCGCGTATGCAACGAGCTGCATAAAATGCAACGCGCGCGCTCCAGCGGATTACGTTTTAATCGGATCGTCATATAGTTACGCGCGCAACGTCGCGTCGGCGGGAACGAAGGTGAATGCAAAAAAGTAAAATAGAAAAAGCATGTAAACGATATATATGAGATGCATTTGATGTGAAGGGGGAAAATTCCGCCGTGACGGCACGTTCGCATGCTATGTGACATACGTGACATTCGAACAAGGTGAAATCGAGCGTGCTGGAATTGAAATAATGCCGCGTGGATGGTGTTCGCAAAATATTCCTGCCGTTTTTTCGAACGTGCAAATTGTCAATGAAAAATAAGTATATACACACACTTTTATTATAAGTATAGTAGATAGACATGGAAGCTTTTTCTTTATTAGAAGCGAGTACTCATGAATTTAAAATTATTTTTATCATAAATAACATGAAATAATAGCAATATTTACGTGAAATCCTTTCTCATTAAGCTAATCAATTTCTTATTAATTATTGCGAAGATCGCAAAACAATGAAAAATATTTTTATTCGGTTTAATCCTCCGTGTACGAGAAATGGAACGATTGTTATCTGATATGTTATATTTTAAGGTATACAGAAATTCTCGAGAAATTCATTATTTATTATTATAAATATCATAGAGATTATCTTTATTTTATTATTCTTTTCAGCGATTCCATCGTTTTGCTGCATATTATCAATTGTCTGAATTATATTTAGAATATCATTGAAAAATGGAAAGCATTGAACGAAATATCTATTATAAAATAATTATTATTCATAAAGATTGCAATAAAACGATCATATGATTTATATCTTATATTATTTATATTTGCTATATTGATCGCAATCGTTAAAAAAAATTTGACAACTTTCTGTGCTTGAGTGTCGCACAATGATAACAAAGAATGTCAACAACAGCGTGCTAGACGAGGCCGAAAACTATGTCATTGATAATTCATTGCCGAAATATTTTACATGTTGATGGGGTATAATAAACGTGTTGGTGAGGTATACACAGTCTGCGCATTACATTCCACAACCTCGTCATTCACACAGCGAAATTCGAGCGAGAAGGTAACGACATAGTCGCTTCACATATTATCGTATCTTGTAAGTAATATCATACAAATTGTGCAATCATTCTGTATAGTTATTATAACTAGCATTTATATTATATTATCTCGGTAGTCATTAAAAATTTGTTCCCTTTATTTAATTAAAAAAAAATCAATATCATCCAGTTTTGGATATAATCTTTCTTTTTTCTCTCCAACATTGTTGTCTACTATTAATAAAAATTAATGAAATATAATCTTTTTGATTTATTCTTTGCTCTTGCTACCTCATTTCAAGAATGAGGAAAAATGAGTTGGAATAAAACATAATCGTTATAATGTCGCGACACGTGGAAACTTTTCGTATTTACTCGACGATCGTGCTAGTGTGTCTCTCGTAAAACATTCTACGTGACAACGCACGTTCTAGGAACGGTATAGGAAACTTTACTAATAATTCGTACGTGACATCATCCGCTGTAGAGTCCGCTTTCACGCCCGGTGGATAGGCGAATGCCTGCTTGTCTGCCTGCGCAAATCTTCGTGGCATGCATAAGCGCACAAGCGCGCAGAGCATCTGACCTTTCACCGATCTCTCTTACTTACTTTGACCCTCGTCTCGTGAATGCCTCTTAGTGTAACGTTTAAAAATGCTATCTGGTTCCCGAGCATAATGCTATAAAACTGACCGCGTCACAATACAACTTTTGATAACTACAAACGCAACGAGAAATGTAATGCATATAATATTAAAACAATGTTAATCAGAAAAACTATATACAAATTTGTGACGCTGCCTGTTCTTTTTTTAATCCCAATTAAATTTAACTCAATCTTTTGTCGCAATTTTTAATCAAATGAATTAAAATTCTGCTCATCACAGTATTTTAAGATAAATAAATAAATAATATAGAAACCTCCCTTCATAATAGAGAGTCAATATACTATAATAGAGAGTATAAGATTTTCTCATACAAGATTTCTCTTGCATGTAGAAAAGAGGACTAAATAATTGACTTGTTGACAATGTACACATATGCGTTCGGATATTTCTAAGTTGAAGTAACTAAATAGCATACGGGAAAGCGATTTCACTTCCGCATATTTCTTTGGTGTCATTGCCAGGTTAAACAACAGCACTTACGCAAATGAGATCAGAAAGCGAGCGCGGGACGCCTTTTGATATCTCCCGGCTGCTCTTTTAACCCGCGTGTGCCCTTTATCCCACCCGGTTGCCGTTCTCGTGTAAACGAGGGTTTAATGGAAGCCGCCCTAGTTCAACGACTGGCCGACCTTAGAGGTACTTTAAATTATCTCGCGGCCAGCAACTTGTTACTACGGGAGACGACGTTGCTCCATTGTATAGGGTTGCTCTTGCAGTTGCTGCAAGAGAGAAAGCGAGAGAGAGAACTATGCTCTCAGAAGACGCTAACCGGAGAAGGGATTCTGTTTTGCTGTCGCTGCAAGATGCAGCTTTGCTTCCGCACCAGTGAAGTTTCTAAGCTTTTATTTTAATTTAAACGCGTTATATTATTATTTTGAAAATGCTATTTAATTGTTGCCAGAAACGGAATTAAGCTTAAGCACGATAATATTTGAATAAACAGTATTTATAATTAAATGTGTATGCTTACCCGTCAACGCACAAAATGTTACAATTAATTTTTATATACAAAATATAAACTATTATTATTATAAATTATTTTTAACACGTAACAATTTTTTATCATATCTTTTTATCATTATGCGTCGAGTCGGATAAAATGTAATGTAAAAGATGAATTAAGATGCAAATAAGTACAGCTATTAAATATCGCGAGACTGAACGAAAGATAGTCGAAAATTCGGGAGAACTCATTAAAGTTAAATTAACGAAGCATCTGTCCTTGACGGATTTGCTAATAGTTTTTAGATGGTATATTGCGCAGCCAAGCGGTTATAGTAAGATGATCGCTTGGTTTCTCCTTACCCAACCCGTTATTATGACGGACACACGAGACGCAAATAATTATTAAATTTAATAACAGGACGATGCGCACGCGGATCGACTCATTTTCTACCGATTTATCATCCTCATTTATCACCGTTATCAGCGTCGGACATAATTCACCTTTGGATTAACGATCTCGGCCATTGTTGCCTGTGCGGCTTACTCCGGTTAGCTGGTTAGGTGAACAGGAGTAAAGAGATATTACCGGCGTGGTATCATGTTTTCATGACAATCTTGTTATTGGTTAATCGTTTTATGCGGTTTAATCCGCTGATGCATAATGCATTCGATTTTATGTCGATATATATAGAAGATTCCGGAGTTGGATTTCGCTCTCATTCAACCTCACGAAAGCTCTCCTCTACCTAACCAACGTCTCGTCTTCTCCTTAGATTTAATTAACACGTGCTTCGGGAATAGAGAACTTTATCATTTTGCAAGTAATTCCATTCACGACTAAATATAGCTCTATTCGCGGCTTGCACGGAGATATATCGTTACTTAATCCTCAATGGAATAATCAGGAAGACAATCTCGCGTGACAAGAGCTCATCAATCGATTCGCAATTACTTTAATTGATTTTGCACAAAAATTTCACACTATTCCAATTCGTTTTTCTTTTATATACATTTTTTTTATCCGCTTTACTTTGCTCAAGAGTTGGTGACTGTAATTAGATCGAGCGGTTTCTTAAAGATTCTTCGGAGTATATTTAAAAGTCATCTCGTGAATTAGTACTACTATATAATCGAATTAAATTAAAGTATACTGATATTATAATAGCTAACAAAATGTTAATTCAAAGTGTTTTATATCATCGCATTTTTTTTGCATATTTAACAATATTTTCTGTTTTTAAATATTTTTTAAGAATGTTTTAGTCTAATCTCCAAAGAGATTTATTAATTGCAAAAAAATTTTTTGGTGAAAATAAAGTTAAGTAAGTTGTGCGCTTATATAGTGATAAAGAGAAGAAAGAAAAAAGTACATTTAATACTGAATGTGACTTCTTCATAAAAAGATGTGCGTGTCACGTTAACCTTTTTTCGACAGACACAAAGAGACTACAAGTTACTGAACAAAAAAAGCTAAAGATGAAGGGACTTTTATCATCACGCGAGGATCGTGGGTAAAAATCAGTTCACACCGATAGCGACTGAAAGTGAATTCCCCACCTTATTACATTTGACGAGCATTACAAGAATGTGCTGTGAACATAAATTAATCTAATATTCTGTAAAATAACAAGAAAATATTTCTACAATACATCTTGTAATTAATTCTCATTAATATGATTAGTGTGTAATTATATGATTGTGCAACGCAATTGTTAATAATGATGAAAATTAGTTATCGCTCTTAATGATCTTCAAAATATAAGGAATATGTTTAAAAGTATAAGAAAATATTAATAAATTGATCCTCCATTCGATATATAATAAAAAATATTCTAAAAAACACGTCACATAACGTAACATTATACTGTCTAAAGGGCGAACATAAAATTATAACAAATTAATTATTGCATCTAATGAGTTAAAGATTTATTTAGATAAGATGCGAATATAGTATTGTATTAATAACCATAATGACAATAGCGAAAGTGTAATTATACAATTATTGTGTTAGAGTTTTCATACATATTTTTGATCTGTATTTAAAATTCTAAAAAGGTTTATAATTTACAGAAAGAGAGAGAAAGAGAGATTGTATCAAACAGATTGTCGGCGTGATACTAATGCTTTTTCTAAGAGTATCAAACGAGAAATCGATCGCGAATTGACCTTTCCCTTCGCATATTGCAACACGATTTTCGCTTGCAGTGTTTCATTCGCTTTTCATGTTGTTAAAAAATTAAGGGATGTCTGCAAGGTTACATTACATTAGAGATGATTAATCTTTCGTGAGAGAAGCCGTGATTGAAACATCTTGCATTCTCATTTTTCTTTCGTAATATTTCAGTTTTTAATCTCATACCTTTGTAGGCATTTATACTTTATGTCTATGTACATCTTCAACATAATTGTAATTAAATTTGTATACATACACAATTTTAATCTATAATTTAATAATTCCTCTAGAGAAAATTTATCACGTACGAGAAAAAATAGATTTATCTTCTTAATAGTTAAAAAGTTGCACGATTAAATATTAATATCACGCGAATATATCATTTGGCGGAAATAGGCAAACAATTTAAAACGCGCGCACGCAATGCATCAATTTCTCCTAATTAAAAACAAAACTTTACTCGAGATTTAAAATAGACGAAAGAATAACAATCATTTTCGATCAAATGGGGGAGATAAGAATTTTTCAAATGACTTACCTTTCCCTCTGCGAGCTGGAACAGGGTAATATCTTCCCCATGCTGTTGAGCTTCCCCTTGGGTTCGCACAGGTTCCCGGAAGACTGGGTTCGCCGGCCAGTCAGGCCCTTTCCGTTATGCCTGCTCAGATTCGAGCCCATTGTCGACTCCTCGATCGCCTGGAGTTGGTTCACCTGTCGTGGATCGTCCTCGCGGCGGCTGTTCACGGCATTTCCGGGCGCGTTCTCCTTATTAGGCCAGTACTTGTCGAGCTGGTCCTTGGCGTCGACTCTGCAGGATATCGGTGGCAATGGTGCCGGCCGATTCCTCTTGCCACCGGAAACGCCCGGTTGCAATTGCGGACGAGTGCAGCCGCGACGACGACCGCTCGATTCGCCGTTTACGGATATCCTCTGCAGTTTCCAGCCTTCCTGATCGTCGCCCGTGGACGGCACCGTCACCACTTCCTCACCTGCAATCGAGAAATGACACTCTGTTAGAGCGACACCGATGGTTAGTCGTTCCGGGAAATAACGTTTCCCTCGTTTTTGCACGCTCGCAAGTTTCCAGCAAACGACGCGAAATTACACAGCTGTTTTGATGAACTGCGGATGGTTTTATTTTATTTTCAGTCGTGTGTATATCTTCGCATGCGGGTGTATTTGAGTTTCGAGAACGAACAGCGTTCTCGCAAAGATAACATCCTAACGTGATTACAACTCGCACATATAACTCTTGGGTTAAAATGCGAAATGTGTCGTGCGTCACAGCACATGTTTGATCCGCAAAATTCCTACATAATTATGTTCCATTTTATGCCTCGTGAAACTTTCGTAATAAGCTAAAGTTGAAAAGTAGCATGGAATATGAAATAGAAACGTAAGAGAGCTTTTAATGCAGCATTGTAAAATTATAATATAAACTCGCTTCAAAGATTCATAAACAAGATATATACTATGGAAAGTAAACTTGCTTCGAAGATCAATAAGGCATCGGGACTCATGCCTTTGAAAGTTATATTATAATTTAATAATAGCTGAATTAATTTCGTTTGTTTGTTGGTTCTAGTTTTACAAGACAATAAAAAATAGACTGAATAAAGTTGATCGAACTGGCTTTAATGTAACGTGATAAAATATTTTACTGCGCATAATATAAAAGTAAAATTTCAATTTTTGCGTTTAAGTTTCGACCGAGTGATATTTTACAACGATGACGTCACTCGCAGAATACCGCACATCTGCATATTTTTGCAATTCAGGTAGCTGTCTGCAAAGTGGCGAGTGTGCTGTGTATTTAGTGATAGTTGACTTAAGCCCTTAAGCAATTAATTTTTCGCATAACTTTTATAAAAAATGATCATAACACACGTCCTCTAATTAGTATATATATATATATATATATATATATATATATAAAATATAGAATTTTACTTTTTTACGTACGAGAAAAAAAATGTGAATCTGTTTGAAACTATTGTAAAATTCCATCAAAACAATAATGCTTGTTGAAATCTCTGTCATTAATGTTTAATCCGGCGAGAGAACGTTTTGTTAAATTTGTGTTTTAAATTTTCAGTACGTGTGGATTATCGCTCCCCAGAGCACACCGATTCCAAACAATTAGCATAGTTTAACAATTAGTATAATTTCGCCTTTCAGCTTTCGCGCAGCAGTTGCAGAAAGCGCGCGAAATACATCCGCATTCATATGGTGAACTTATTGTTGGTATTACGTCTAAATGGAATCCGATTCCCCAGTTGCGTATCCGAGGTCCGGTCACTGTATATACATAATAACCATCGTGCGAGGCTTGTTGCATAACCGTATTATTAATGAGGCCGGCATGCGTGCACGTGCATCTCGCACGCCACGCATCCGACGAATGGAGCTGGCTCGAAACGTCAAGCTTGAATCGCGGTCGCTTGTTGTGTCTACGAGCGGAAAGTTTTAATTCGACACGAGAGGAAATCGACGATGGTACATAGTCGACGTGTGAAAGAACGAGAGCGCACCAATACTCGATTAATTCACCGGCGAATTGTAAATTACGACAACTCGCATTTAGGCAAAAGCAAAATTACTCTTCTGTTCGATATGCATTGTAAATGTAATTTTTTTTAAATATATGTAGATTGAGTTTTTTATTCAAGCCGTAGGAACGGCTTGAATCTCGGAGAGAAATATTGAGAAAATTAAGGTTGCAAGATTTCAATTACGGTCGATTTAAATAAAAAAAAATCGTGCTGTTTTTCTCTTTTTTTTACTTATATATATTTTGATGTATTTGCGATATATACTGATAGATATTCAAAAATTATATATATATATATATAATTATAATAGATTCTTTAATTTTAATTCAAGACAGGTATGGTTATATAGAATGTGTTCTTGCTGTCAGTTATCGCTCTCACAAGTGGAAGGCTATAATGATTCAAGGAAAGAGCCGGTCATTAACACACATAAGGAGGAAATGCCTGGGAGTCATAATTCGCATGCTTGTACTTGATTTCTTGCGGGAAAGTATTACGTTAGCAATTCTGCGGTAATCGGGACAATCAACTGTTAACTGTAATTTACTAGCTTACAGATTTGTAATATCCGGTAAACATATTTATTAAAATTAACTTATAAATCTCATTTAAGAGTGGCTTATGAAAGAAATATAACATATAAAGAATCTTTTGCTTCCTCATAGAGGAAACTTTGTTTTTTTAAATATATGTAGATTGTAATAATCTTAATGATTCCAATAATCTTAATTACTAATTACTTTCTACAAAAATATCAAGAGTCTAGAAATATTCCTAAGAAAATATTTTTAGAAGATATATTTATAGATCAAATTCCATAAGTATCTCGTTAGAAAACAATTTTTTTCCAAGAGAATGATCAAGTTCGAAAATATTTTTTCTACCTAACAAGAGAGATAATCTGGCTTTTCTATCGTAAAATCCGCGTACTTTATCTTACTGTCTTGTTCGCGCAAGTGTATTTTCTCTGGATTATTCGAAGCAGTTCCGTTCTTGTATATATAACCCATTTTAGATAACGTCGCCATTGCTATTGGGTTAACCGATGAAATCGTCGTTTTACAGCACAACCGCGGAAAATGGAAATAAGTCGAAAATCAGTTGGAAAGATGTAGCTCCGGAAAAAAGCTCACACCTTCATAGGAGCTTAAGAGAGGGTGCAAAATTTAAGCCCGCCTTGGAACGGAAGGAAGTTGCTTTTTCGCAGCTTTTTTTTATAAAGTGAAAAGAATTTTAAGTGAAAGGCGACGAAAGGCACGTGCGATTATTTAACCTCATATGTGGTCCTCGGTGTGCACATCGTTTATCTCGCATGCAAGTCGGTATGTGTAAAATAAAACTTGTTCTCTACCGCGCACGCGAAATCACCGTTGCGCTCGTAATTACATTTTACCAGTGCGTGACGCTTTTATAATGCGTGCGTTTATAATATCGTTCAGAAAAAAAATGTAAAGATATGTAAAGTGGCAAAAAGAATTATTTCGTTTCGATATATGTAGATCCAGGGGCTTATACGATAGTATCCGACGTAGAAAACTTTCTAATACAATTTCGTGGAAAAAACTCATATTTTACAGAAAAGATATCGTGAAACAGGTTCATGTTAGTTTTTTCAAGCCAATAGGTTTTAATAAAAAGATATTTTTAGTGAAAATAACTGCGTCCATTCTAGAATAACATCACACGATTTTTACCTGTATCGTGTACCAACTGTAAAATGATACTATTATTGACTATTATTACAAAACATGAATGTACGCAGCAGATACGTGTTTACCCGTATCGATTGTTATTTGAATCCGACAGAAACAAAGTTATATGATTAATTTTCAATTTTAAATAAACTTGGTTTAAAAAAAAAATTATATGCATAATTGTAAACTCTTCTATCAATATCAAAATATTATTTTATTTAAAAAATTCTCTTATTCCCCTATATGTGCGAGAATACACATTACAAGTTTTTTAAATTAATAAAATATACAATAAAATTTAAAAAAATATTCTCTAATCTCTAAATGCAATAACAAACACAAAAAGTATTTCTTTATTTTTGGTACTCTATAATCGACGCTTATCGAAGAGAGATAATTGCAAATGTTTATTGCTGTGAAAGCAGACACTTTTGTTTATTTTCATCCTGCCATTAATTCACAATCCGTTACGGTGGATGGGTGTCGGTATTTTCGATTTAATCGATAGATAGGTTTTAAAATCAGCTGTGTTAGGTGATCGATTTTACGAGAGCTTGTGTCATTGGCACCAGCAATTATTCCGGCTTCTTCCGTTCACGCGGCTTCCGGTCGCGAATAAATCCAAGAGGATGGGTAAACGCAGGAAATTGATAGAGACCGTGTATAGGTCGCCCTTGGGAAGATTATTATCATCGTAAACGTCATACAAGAGCTGATCTGAAATTTATTGCGTATCGGGATCTTTTTGTCGATAAAATACATTGATGCGTGCTCGACGTGCGTGTTCAACAGTACGTAATTTCATATACAACTGTATTAATGTAAAAAAAAAAATAATTGCTACAGCATCCAATATTGAAAAAAATATTAAAACATATTTAATAATTTTAAACGAGCGTGCACGCTCGAGGAAATTGTTTAATGTTAAAAAAAATTGGCATAAATTTTCTCGATAAATTGAACCGTGAAAGTAAAAGTGTAGACGTAAGTTAAATTTTTAATAAGATCTTATTTTCCAGTTAAGTTGACCAATAGAGTTTGTTTGTTACTTTACTTTTGTAGAGAAAATTTAATTCGAGACTTAATTACCAGGATATTTAATGAAAGTTGGAAAGTTGCTACAAATGACTTTCTATCGAATCTTCACTGCAGAGAAGTTTATTCTTTAATTTATCAAAGAATTTATCTTATTTTTAGAGAAAATTTTGTCTTAGAATTTATCCAGAAAATCATAGTAATCGTGAGACAATATGATATTGGAAGAATTTTATGAGTTTCTCTGATAAAGATTTACAATAAAAAATATTAATATCTATCAAAAGAAGAAATAAAGTATGCTTGATAATTAATTTTATTATGTACATATCAATATTTTTATTCTGATAAATATTAATCAGAGAAATTTATAAAATTCTTCCGATATCTTGTTCCATGATTATCATGATTTTCAGGGTAAATTCTAAGAGAAAATTCTCTCCGTGCAAGATTTATAAAAAAATATATATTATTCTCAAAAGATGGTGGAATAAAAGCAGAATAATAAGTAAAACTATTAATTATAAATATAATTAAGTATGGGAAATATTAACAAAGGTATGTATATAAAACATATATCCACACTGAAACAAAAATTTATCAAATTCAAATAAATATTCAATACTGCCTAATAAATCATTTATTTAAAACTAATAATATTGATTTGATCTGAAAAATATTTATTTGATATAAAAAAATCCTTTTCAA